CGGCCATGATGTCTTCTAAGAATCCACTTCGATTTTTATGAAAGATTCAAATACGTACACATAAAATAATGGACTCTAACATACCTTAGTTCGCAGGTGTTCGCAGTAGATTCACACAAGATATCCTCATTTGAAATTTAGTCTCTATGAAAGTCATAAAAAGGCACGGACATTATCGACCATAAATTCTCTTGTACAAGCTATTTTACCATTACAGCACACAGACCCAAGAAGGTTGCAAAAAATGGCCAGACGAACTGAACAACTCTAAATCGCGGTTTTCTTCAATTTCCAGCAAAATCTTACTCGCCCCAGTTTTTTTCCGCATCACACGTCGATCAGCGCGCGCTCTCGTTGCGCCGCCCAGGGCGTAGTAAAACACGGGCGGTGAAACGCGCTAATATTTGCCTGATCCATGTGTGATGCACGGGAGACTGGCGCGAGCGTGCGAAATGCGCGGATGAAGCGGGATTTTTAAAGATGAAGCGAAGCAAAAACAAGAGACAAAAATATTTAAAGGGCAATCAAAAAGTGCAAATTTTTAAGGTAAATTTATCCTTAAAATGGAAAAAAATTAACTTGTTATAAAATAGAGACTCTGACAATTAATTAGTATTGCAAATTACATCGCTGGAGTAGGAAAAGCATTTTTAAAATGTGAAATTATTTGAAGGCATAGCGATTTTATCATAAAATATATTTACATTTTTCTGGCAATGACAAATTGTAGTCGAGTTTTTTAGCCAGACCGAGTGGAAAAAAAGTTAACTTCAACCCTTTAAATTATCTATAATTAGTTATACTTTCGATCTGAAAAGGTTAGAAAATGGGCTTTTGTGGGCTTTTTTTTCAATTTAAAGATTTATGACCAGGTCACTTGCGTAATTTACAATGACACAACTTGTGACCTTGTTTTGATAAAGTTAGAAAACAATTGTCAATTTAGAAAACATTGGAAACATTTTCATCAACATATTCAGGCATTCAAATGCAATATAAAAGTTAGGGAAAATATTCAATTATAAGGAACAAGCAGAAAATTCCGTTTTTACCATGTTAAAGGTTGTTTTATTTCTCTTTTCGAACTTACAATATGCAACTAAAATGTCCGCCAAAAGACTCCAAATTGCATGTTCACAGCGATGTCGCAGTTTTACAAGCGCGGAAACTTCTTAACTTTTAAATATTTCATGCACAATATATGAAAACTAGCTTTATTTTGATGTTTTTGGATAATTTAAGTACGTAATTTTCTGAAAATCATCAAATGATAATGGGCTTTTCTAATTTTTAAATATTTTTTTGCCCTTATTTTTGACATGTGCATGCCAAATCTACACAATGCCATAACGAATGCAAGCAAGCGATAGTTTGTTGTCGCAGTTTTACAAGCGCGGAAACTTTTTAACTTTTAAATATTTCATGCACAATATATGAAAACTAGCTTTATTTTGATGTTTTTGGATAATTTAAGTGCGTAATTTTCTGAAAATCATCAAATGATAATGGGCTTTTTTAATTTTTAAACATTTTTTTGCCCTTATTTTTGACATGTGCATGCCAAATCTACACAATGCCATATCGAATGCAAGCAAGCGATAGTTTGTTGTCGCAGTTTTACAAGCGCGGAAACTTTTTAACTTGTAAATATTTCATGCACAATATATAAAAACTAGCTTTATTTTGATGTTTTTGGATAATTTAAGTACGTAATTTTCTGAAAATCATCAAATGAGAATGGGCTTTTTTGTTTAAACATACTTTTTTCCAGCTTTTTTCATAGGGTGTCAGATTTCAAAAACGCAAAGTCGAAGGCAATGCTATTCCATGTGTAGATTTCGGCATGGACATGTCAAACTGAATCAGGCAAAAATGTTTAAAAATTAAAAAAGCCCATTTTCATTTGATGATTTTCAGAAAATTACGTACTTAAATGATACAAAAACATCAAAATAAAAATAGGTTTCATATATTGTGCATGAAATATTTAAAAGTTAAAAATTTTCCGCGCTTGTAAAACTGCGACAACAAACTATCGCTTGCTTGTATTTCATGTGTAGATTTGGCCTCGGATTTGGCATGTATACATGTCAAAAACAAGGCCAAAAAAATGTTTAAAAATTAAAAAAGCCCATTCTAATTTTGTGATTTTCAGAAAACTAGGTTCTTAAATTATGCAAAAACATCAAAATAAAACTAGTGTTCATATATTGTGCATGAAATATTTAAAAATTAAAAATTTTCCGCGCAAGTGAAACTGCGACAACAAACTATCGCTTGCTTGTATTTCATGTGTAAAACATCAAAATAAAAATAGGTTTCATATATTGTGCATGAAATATTTAAAAGTTAAAAATTTTCCGCGCTTGTAAAACTGCGACAACAAACTATCGCTTGCTTGTATTTCATGTGTAGATTTGGCCTCGGATTTGGCATGTATACATGTCAAAAACAAGGCCAAAAAAATGTTTAAAAATTAAAAAAGCCCATTCTAATTTTGTGATTTTCAGAAAACTAGGTTCTTAAATTATGCAAAAACATCAAAATAAAACTAGTGTTCATATATTGTGCATGAAATATTTAAAAATTAAAAATTTTCCGCGCAAGTGAAACTGCGACAACAAACTATCGCTTGCTTGTATTTCATGTGTAGATTTGGCATGCACATGTCGAAAACAAGGCCAAAAAAATGTTTAAAAATTAAAAAAGCCCATTCTCATTTGGTGATTTTCAGAAAACTAGGTACTTAAATTATACAAAAACATCAAAATAAAACTAGTTTTCATATATTGTGCATGAAATATTTAAAAGTTAAAACTTTTCCGCGCTTGTAAAACTGCGACAACAAACTATCGCTTGCTTGTATTTCATGTGTAGATTTGGCATGCACATGTCAAAAACAAGGCCAAAAAAATGTTTAAAAATTAAAAAAGCCCATTTTCATTTGGTGATTTTCAGAAAATTACATACTTAAATTATACAAAAACATCAAAATAAAAATAGGTTTCATATATTGTGCATGAAATATTTAAAAGTTAAAAATTTTCCGCGCTTGTAAAACTGCGACAACAAACTATCGCTTGCTTGTATTTCATGTGTAGATTTGGCATGCACATGTCAAAAACAAGGCCAAAAAAATGTTTAAAAATTAAAAAAGCCCATTCTCATTTGGTGATTTTCAGAAAACTAGGTACTTAAGTTATAGAAAAACATCAAAATAAAACTAGTTTTCATATATTGTGCATGAAAAAAAGAACTTGCTGTTTTTATCAATTTATGGCGCTTCATCTGGTGGAACTTGACAAAAATACATGTGATTGAACATACCTGATTTCCTAACACACATTCCAGTTGCAGGTTAATTTTACAACAACAGCCGTTTAAAAAACTTTTTTTTCGTCTTTTTTTTCATCTTTTAAACGAACGAAGTTGTTTCGCAAAAACAATCGATCCTCGTGAGTGAGATCCCAGACTTATATCACACTACAACATTCCCCATATAATCAGCCGTGATTAAAAATCCGGAAAAAAGATTTTGTCTATAGTAATAGCACAGATCCCAAATCCATTGTGAATTCAGCTTGAATTGTACCTTTTTACGTAGTAATTTTAAAAAGAAGTCAAAACAAACATGCATGCCTGATCAAACCACATCGAATTCGAATAAAAATGAAAATATGCGGGGGGACCTGCATCACACATAGATCAGGGGCGCCATAGCCGTTTCACCGCCCGTGTTTTACAGCGCCCTGCACTCAGTGAACTCAATCAGAGCTCAAAGAGCAGCAGCACTCTCCCTCGACAAGAAAAATCATCTGGCATTAGATGAAGTGAAATAAACTAGTAAAGTAGGGTGCATTGGGGCACAATGCAGCTTACTGGGTTAACTGGAAAATATATTTATTAAACAATACACACCCTATACTTGTATTTCAATTCATAGCATGATTTGGTATACTTATGTCTATCTGAGCCAAGTAGCTGACAGGAATGATATTTGAATCACACCTGTACATAGACAGATTTTCATATTTTTTACTGGGGTGGTGCCAGAAATTTTAGGGGGGTGAGCCGTGAGCAGGTGACTGAAGCAACACAAAGTGTCACCAAACCCCAGTAAGGTCTATATTCTAGGGGTGGAGCACTATAGAGCTGCGAGAGGGAGTCCAGAGAGCAGAAAACAAAGTATCCCAGGAAAAATTTGAAAAAAATCATGATTTCTAGGTTCGAAAAAGTTCTTTGAAGTTGTCATATCAATGGATTTGGCATGTCCGATTGTCTGTTGAAACTTGAGAGAGTCAAAGTTAAATGAACCTGTAAAAGTGTAAACCCAATAGGCCAATACACAATATGCTTTTATTTTTGTAAAGTCATTGACATTGTGTCGTTTGAATCCGAGTACAATTTATGATGCAACTCCGATGGAAATAATATTTGGGGCGTAAAGATTAAATCTAGGCAAGTCTATTTCCTAAAAGAATTAAAAACTAAAAATAATGTTCGTAAAAATTCCAAACGTTCCTTGCAAGCAAGCTATTTGCATGGCAAGGCACTGCAAACTCTATTCAGGGGAGATAATAGAGTTTCAAGACTTTACAATTGCTCCAATAAACCAGTGAATGCAAGCAAGGAGCGATTAGTTTCAGAGTATTGCACTGTCTTTTTCTATTTCAGTGTACTCCTACGTTTATTTTGTACCATCAACACTCTGCACGTTGGTGTGGACTATTTAATTATTTTTTATTATGCCAAATATTGGGGGGTTGAAAATTTTTTTGGAGGGGTGAACACTTTGTTTGGAGGGGTTATAGATAATATTGTGGGGTTGCACCCCTCTGCACCCTCCACCTCCCCACAAAATCCGTCTATGCACCTGTATACATTCATTGAACAAAGCTAATTTAATTGTACATTAATTGTACATGAACCATGTAAATGTAAACTAGCTAGAACAAAAACACACCCACACAGCTTGGCGGGATGAAAGTTCAAAGATACTTCCGCAAGCTATTTTTAACAACTGTCAAAACAATGTCAAAACAACAAAATTGTCCCGGTAAGCGGGATGAAATTTTCTCAAATAAACACAAGAGAAATCATCCTGCTTACCTACCTTAGCGGGCTGTCTCGCTAAGCGGGCCAGCCCGGCTTCCATACAAACAGGCCCTAACAGTCTCTGTCAGGCAATTACAATGTTCTAATGTCCAAACTCTAAAGTATTATAAACAAGCAGAACAGATCACTTATTGCAAGTTGCTAGTAAGTCATATCAACATGTGATCTCGACAATATACAGTGTATAAACTAAAGTAATTCAGCTTCTACACATGAAGCGACTTTTTTAAACACTATCCTTACACTTCATCAATTCATTGAAGTTTGTACATAAAAGTCATTCTATTTGTAGTATTAAATCACAAGACATATTCTATTTGTAGTATCAAGTCACATCAGAATTTTATAATCAAGCGTCTTTGGACCCAAGTGATCTTGAGTTCTATCTTGTTAAAACCTATCCAAGGAAAAACAAGAAAGGGATATTGAAGTAATGGTGTTTTAGAGCCAAATAAATTCGAATATCCACAAGTATAAAAGCAGAACTCCGTATATACCTGAGACAAAATGACATCATAGCGAACACATTCTAATAATGCCCAAATTTATATTCAGTGCGCTATTTTTTTAAAAATATGACCCTGTTTGCTTTCTAAATACAACAAAATTACAGCTTTTACCTTCTGTTCAAATAGTTCCACAGATAAATCGAAGTCACATTTCGTACTACTTGAATAAAAAGCTGTTTTTACTGTAGAAATGACAACTTCCCAATATAATTTTTTATTGTCAACACTGCATTACACTTGTTTAGCTCGCGCATGCGCAATAAAAAAAGATGGGACATGTTTCTGCTCGAGTGAGACTTCTGGTATTATCTCTTCTGTGATATAATGACATATATAGTCTGCGAATCCGTGGCATGAAGCTTGTATGGTCACGTGACTTTCCCAAGGAAAGTTGGGACGATTGTGATTGGTTGAACTATAATTATTCAGAATTAATGTTAATTCATCGGATATTGCGTTCGCAACGCGCGTTGGGCTGTTCAAAATTGAGCGTTTCCAGGGTAAAATGACAATAGAGACCTTTAGATTGACGTTTACGACAAACGTCAAACCGCTAGCGAAGTTTTTGATTTTACAACTTTATTATAGTAGCTTTTACACCAGTTTTGAAATATGTTAAACTTATTAAACTTGTGCTCTTTAGCAATGATTTAAGAAAGCAAATTAACTACTAGTCATGCCATTCACCAAAGCAGTAAGTTGAGATTTGGCGTTTGAAGTTGATGTTTGGCGTATAAATATCATGCTTGAACTGCTACGAGGGCTTGTAGTCGTTAAAGCATGAAATTTATACGCCAAACGTCAACTTCAACCGCCAAATCTTAATTTACTGCTTTGGTGAATAGCATGACTATATATATAGTGGTTAATTAAATTTGCTTTCTTAAGTCATTGCTGAAGAGCACAAGTTTAATAAGTTTAACATATTTCCAAACTGGTGTAAAAGCTATTATAATAAAGTTGTAAAATCAAAAACCTCGCTAGCGGTTTGACGTTTGCCATAAACGTCAATCTAAAGGTCTCTAAAGGCTGATTTCCACTGTTGCGTTTTTCATACGTATACGTATACGCACGTAAAACTTTAAATCCGTTTAAATGATACTTATGAAATAACCAAATAAATAAAGCAACAGAATTTAGTGTTCCGCAAGTTTTAGTATGCATTTGTTAACTTATTTGTAAAATATTTTAAAAATAGAAGGATTCAAAGTTTTACGTGCGTGTACGCGCGTACGAAAAACGGAACAGTGGAAATCAGCCTTAATGTTTATTACAGTTGTATTTATAGAAGTGTGGCGGATAAACAAGAAAGGCCGTTGTTTTCAAATGGAAGGCCCATTTCGCCAAACAGAAGATGCAATATTATAGACGAAATCAAATTTAAGGGAGGCAATAAAGATACAGGTATTTCATGGGGAGTTTTGTTGATTTATATAGCGAATAAGTTTGAAGTCTCGAATGGTTGTAAAATCTCGAATAGCTGTAATACCTGTATCTTTATTGCCTCCCTTAAATTTGATTTCGTCTATAATATTACATCTTCTGTTTGGCGAAATGGGCTTTCCGTTTTGAAAACAACGGCCTTTCTTGTTTATCCGCCACACTTCTATAAATACAAATGTAATAAACATTGTCATTTGACCCTGGAATTCGAAACGGTCAATGTTGAACAGCCCAACGCGCGTTGCGAACGCAATATCCGATCAATTAACATTAATTCTGCATAATTATAGTTCAACCAATCACAATTCGTCCCAACTTTTCTCGGGAAATACACGTGACCATACAAGCATCATGCCACGGATTCGCAGACTATATATGTCATTATATAGTCTGCGCGCAGGCTAACCTCCACAAAGACTATAAATATTTTTGTAAATATGTATCGATCGATTCGAAACTTCACCATCCCCTCCCCCCGGGCCGACCCCGGGAATTTGAACTTTTTGAAATTTGACTGATCAAATTCTCCACCCCCTGTTCAAAAAATGTCTTCAAATGCCCCACTGTAACAAGAAATTAAGTGTTCAAAAATGCCCCACCTTCATATGAAAATTATGAAACAGTAAATACAAAAAGAACAAAATATCCGGAAATGTTTTTCGACAAGATAGCGAAATTCACGTAAAAAGTTTGGATAACTTGTGGAAATTTAACATTTTTACACAATTATGTAGTACATACCTTCAAATGAAGCACACAGATTTTCCATGCCCGTTTCCTTGAGCCAGTTTTTCACAAAATTGAGGCCGTTTCCCTCGAAATCTGAGAAACCTGTATTTGCCGCCAATGCGAAGTATTTCCTGTGCATGCAGGAAGCACGCGAAAACGGGCAAAGTTTTATCCCAAATGCCCCACCACATGGAAGACCTAGAACGTCAAACTCCCTACTCTCTGGAGAAGACTTGAAGTCAAATTCCCGGGGTATGCCCAGGGGGGGGGGATGGTGAAGTTTCGAATTCATCGATACATAATTTCAATGAACTCATAAAAATTTTAAAATTAACTCAAACTGGGAAATTTTGACCAGTTAAAATAAATACATTTACCCTTTCTCAATTCTCACAACTTTCTATGAATAGGAAATAAATAGCTTTTTAAGATCTAATTATTTTGCTATTTATTAGCTATTTTAACAATAGCTCTAAAAATAAAAGTAAACATAGTTTAAAAATAGCTATTTATATAATAGCCATTTGAACTAAGTGCGCCACAACTTTCTATGAATAGGAATTAAATAGCTATTTAAGATCTATTTATTTTCGTATTTAATAACTATTTTAACAATACTCAATAATAGCTCCAAAAATTAAAGCAAACATAGTTTAAAAATAGCTATTTATAATAGCTATTTGGAACAAAATTCGCCACAACTTTCTATATGAATAGGAATTAAGAGCGACTGTCCGTAAAAATCGAGCGAACAGTGGCAATAGATGAAAAATAGATTTCTTTCATATTTTGCTCAAATTTAGGTAATATCTAGTTATAAATGGTGTTTGGGTTAGATATTCAATATTTGGTCGATAAACGTACAAATATCAGAAATCAAGAATTTGTCTCCGCAAGGCTATAATTAGTCGCAGACAAAGCCGTTGCCATGGTCAATTTCATCACTTCGCGACAGATTCAAAACTGCCCGTGGATAGTTTTGATGGTTTAATGACTATAATTCAAGTATTAAAGAACAATTTTATCAATATAGAATGGCCAAGCAGGCTTTAACTGGCCTGATAGACGTTGTTAAAATTGGCTATTTTTAGTCAAATCAATTTTAATGCATTTTGTAGGGGAAATTTGAAGGATTTGAAGGGGAAATTTACTATGTGCGATAATCGTGAATTTGTTCATATTTCATCCACGGAATGGTATAGCATGAGTACATGTTATATATAAAAACTAGCTTGGGTTATTGCCTTGGAGCCTCACGCGAGACTTTTAAAAAAGCTCATTTTGGTGATTTCCAGTGGAATGTAGCACAATTAAATCATTAGGCCCATACGTCTATACCAGAGTCACGAAGCTCAAATTGTTCAAAACTTTGAATTTTGTGTTTCGATATCAATGTATATGCTTTGTATACTTTATTAAGAGTCGTTTAGAAGGATTTTCAATATATTTTAGTGATAGGCCTACTTACAACAAAAGCACAACAAATCATCATATCATTATACTAGACTGTAACGTTGCTATTTATAGCAATTCGCGTGTTGTTACTGAATGTATATTTAATATGTCTGCAGTCTGTAAGCTTTTGAAGTCTTATAATTTCTCATTTTTGTTTAATGCTTTCTCTGCATATGTAAACTAATAGAATTAAAGCTAGGTAAATACAATAAAAGTACATAAGTTGGAACATGACTCTCCTGTTAGGCCATATAAAATAAATTCCTTGATTCTCATCGCTAAATTTTAAAAACTCCCAGGAGGCGGGAGGTTTATATTTTATATTTTATGTCAAAATATAAAAAGAAGTTTAAAATTTAAAAAATTGGAGAGGGAGGTCTTTTTATATTTGCCCTTAAATATATTATAGAAGAACGCTATATAAGTGGATAATTGCACATGCGCTAATGAACATGCATAAGGGTCCACACAAATCGTTGTAATAAGGCTATAAGCCCATTTTTTCCTTCAGTATTCCAAGCATCCCTTAACATGTTGCCGAATATTAACGGTAAAACAATTTTATATCGCAAAAATTCCAATATAAAATATAAAGATAACTAAATCTCTGAAGATGGTCGGTCGGGCGGTAAATTTATATTTTATAACGAAATACAAAAATATATCAACGCGGAAACCAAAATATCGTCGGGCGGTGATGAGAATCAAGGAATTTATTTTATATGGCCAATACGAAACTAACAAACAGGTGACGAGTTTTACTATAGTGTGAGGCAGCCAGGCATATGAGGCACGATGCGAGGCACAATGCGAGGCATGAAAAAAAGTGCGAAGCATGCGAGGTAGAAGTGCGAGGCATGAAAAAAAGTGCGAGGCATGAAAAAAAGTGCGAGTCAGGCAAATGTACCAGTGGGAGGCAGACACAATGACTGACTCCAAATTTTGACGATATTTTACATATTGAACATACTTAACTTGACGCTGGAC